ATATATTATAACAGTGATTTAGTGACAGGTGCAGTTTCAAATGAAGCAATAAGCCCCAAGAAGCCGTGGTTTACATTGAATTTATAACAGCTAAGGGGCGTTGTTAGTTACGACGCGAAGCGGATGTGCCTAAAACCCCCTTAGCTGTTATACATTCACTGTAAACCACGGCTTCATGGGGCTTATTGCTTTTATAAAACGGTTATTCCATATACGTAGTAAGGTTTCACAAAATAAAACGGAGCAAATAAAGTGTAATGATATTAATAAAAACAGTATTCTTCCACCAAACAATGTAGTTCCTCAGAATCAGTTGTGGTTGCAATAAAGTGGTTGCTGAGCAACATACAAAGTAAACAAAGGTGTATGTTTGTAAAGTAATTTACAACAGCTTCGAACGTGGCTCAACCAATCAGAATCAAGCACCGGAACTCTCCGTTTTATAACAAACCTTGAATGCACTGCAAATGGCTTTGAATAAACGTGTCTGCCAAATTAAATGCAAATGTCTATACAGCATAGTAGGAGTAAAAGTGGGATCAGGACATGACTCGAACCTGATCAGACCTAAACCTGGGTTTCCCAACCTTGTTTAATTAGGAAAAGGTAAAACATGTGTAGTGTTGGCGTATCTCGAGGAACAGGGTTGGGAAAGAATGGGTCTGTCCAAATACTCACACTTACGGTCTTTGCACTTGACCACTTTGCTTTTACTAATTACGTGATGCATTTCCTGTATTTGGCCCAAGTGTTCAAATGGGCTTGGAGACTCATCTCTCCACCAATACAATGTGCAATATGTTATGTCTTGCAACCAAATTATATGCAATTTCTGATTTAACTTTTGCTTGTGTCTGGATTTTGTTTCCTGAACATGATGAATGATAGGATATACTTAGCCTCAAATACGCTATCAAGCTCAGTTCTGACGATCAGATCATGTATGTTAAGCAAGGTTTTTCCCTCTGACAGGTCCCACACATGGAGACTGGAGCTGCTGGAGCTCCTGGTCCCCATGTGTGTTTGGAACAAAGACACGTAAACGGGAATGCAGTAACCCCCCGCCAAAAGATGGTGGCCTGCCTTGTCAAGGAAGTAGTAATCAGAAGAAACGTTGCTAAAATCTAAATATACTCATGTTGACAGTGTCCTGTAATTTTATACTAGCATAATGCCATTTCTGTCTGCTGGTTTGGGTTTACCTTTACCAGGTAATGTTGTTCAATTTAGTTAAAATATGTTACTTTTTTGGATGACCTGATTTCAAGTCCCGACTTGTGGTCCTTTTCCGGTCATGTTCCCCTCGTTCCTCTTCAATTGCTGTCTCTCTCTATACTGTCATATCAACATGAAGGCAGAAAAGCACATAGATATAACCTGAAAAATAAAAAAGTGTTACATTTTAAGGAAACGTTCACTTAAAACTGTCTTGTGATTGATTGCAATGAGGTTTCTAATGAATGTGATTGAGGTTTTAAAGCAAGGACAAGATTTTCAAAGAATAATAACGTCTTGGTTACGTTATGTAACCCTCGTTCCCTGAAGGAGAGAATGGAGATGTTGTTACAAGGGAGTCCCAATCACCTCTGAGCATTACAGGAAACGGGCAATGACTATTGGTGAGTGGAATTTGCATGCCAAGCCACTCCCCATACATATTGGTAAAAAAGAGGGTGGCGTGCATCCACTCATTCAGGTTTGTGCTGAGGAGCTGAGAATTATCCCGGCATTCAGCGCAGTTCAGGGTTGTGGCATGAGGAATGTAACATCTTCGTTCCCTCGATTTTCCAGGTAGGGACTGTCACAAGGAGCTCCTGCATCAACCCCGCATTTTAGCACCTTGGCCTGATTTACTTGCAGGATAGCCATATTATTTGTGTTAGGAACAGGGGCGAACACACCACTGAATATGCCATTCGAAATGCAGCAGAGAAGCCTGCTGATGTGTTGATAGTAGTGATGAATCTCTTGCTCATGAAGCAATCGACTTTGAAGCAAAAATCTGAATGAGTGGATGCACACCACCATCTTATATACCTGTATGTACGGGGAGTGGCTTGGCATGAAAATTCCACTCGCCAATAGTCATTGGACGTTTCTTGTAAAGCTCAGAGGTGATTGGGGCTCCCAAGTGAGACCCCTAATCTCAGTGTCGAGCATTGCATTGAACGTAACTGACTGAAAAGGAACTGACATTTCTTAAGTTGGTCTGTAGAGCACATAAACATATGACTACTTTTGGTACTTTTATTTGGTACTCTTACACAGTGAATTATTTTGTGTATTGCAAAAGAGCATGCGGACAGTGTCATTCTAGACCAGGTTAACTGGTTAACTTCGGACCTGGAGGGGATTAGGGTTGGAGCTAAACTCTGCAGGACAGGGGCCCTCCAGGACCGAAGTTGCCCAGCCCTGTTCTACACAATCTGTATCGGAAAATACAACAGATGGATAAAATGATTGACGAAGATGTTTAGCTTTTGACAACTACACACCAAAAAAACAACTTTGGGAATTAAAAAAATGTGCTATGTGTGTATGCTTCGTTAAACAGGACCAGCAAGAGTGCTTCACAAAAACTAAAGTGTCATTTTATGTGGGTGAATATTTAGTTTATTTAGTGTGGGTCAAATGGTCATGATCCAATGGTCGTGGTTGTCTGTGGAAAGTTAAGCTAGTATTGTAGGACGTAATGAAGATAAGGTAAAGTCTATTATGGTTTTTGTATGGAAAATATCAGTCATGATGTAAATATCAGTTATGATGAATGAAGAGTCAGAGATTACTGAAGAAAATATTTTGTCGTTTCGTCAGCAGAAGTCAGCTTCAACACTCAGCAAAGAGTTCGTAGGCCACTCTGCTCACCCATCAATTATACTCTAACAGAGATCAGTAAACTATGCCATTACTTCAAGTTTTATGATTCTAATTGGTTAAAGCATAGATAAACTTGGAACATATCCAGACATGGACTTCTTGTCAGTAGCATATCTCCACTGATAATCATTTTGACAGCAGGGGAGTCTGAGTTTAGACGCAATGTGACACAGAACAGCCTTTCTATATGTCCAGTGTTCTTAATATGCTCATTCCAGCACTCCAGTGTTTAGAGCTTTATGGCTAGATCAGGAAACATATTGATAAGATATAGTTTCTCACAGTCAGACTTTCAATCAATATGTTTTATTCTCTGAGCTCACACTGAGAACTGGTCACACAGAGAAGGGCCTGAATGACCTATGTGACTTGGACTATCATGGTCAGCAGGAGGGTTATAAATATGTATAGTCAGACTCATAATGCTAAACCTACTTCACTATTCTAAAACTACAGAATTTACTAAAATCATTTTAGTTCACCAAAAAATAAAAATTACCCAATGATTTACTCACCCTCAAGCCATCCTATGTGTATATGACTTTATTCTTTCAGATGAATACAATTGGGGTTATATATAAAAAAAAATGTCCTGGCTCTTCCAAGCTTTATAATGGTAGTTGAATGGCTGTTGAGATTTTGAAGCAAATTAAAGTGCATAAATCCATCGTAAAAAGTGCTCCACACAGTTAATAAAGGCCTTCTGAAGCGAATCGGTGCGTTTTTGTATAAAAATATCCATATTTACAACTTTATAAACCATAATCTTTAGCTGTTAGGTGAACTATGCCTTTAATTCTTTGAAGGATGAATATTGATTAGTAGCTGATCAGAACCACTTGAAAGGATATATGAAAGTAAAAGTAAAAAGTGATCCATACTCTGAATTTGTGCTCTGCATTTAACCCATCCGCACACA